TCCCCCTCCCCCAGCTGCCTGTCCCCTCCCACTGACCTCCCCCACAGGCCCCAGGACCGAACAGGGGCTGTGACCCAGGGCCTGCACCAGAGGGAAGGGGGTGACGGAGGTGCTCCCCTCGCACCTCTGCCGGCACTTGCTGAGCTTGGCTGAGGCCAGATCCACCCTCCTCCAGCCAGGACAGAGACCCCCGCCTCCCAGCCCTGCTGTCTGCCCCCTGCCCGGCTCTGGGGAGGGCCAGAGCTATTCTGGGCCCCTAATCTGGGCAGCACATCGTCCGTGGGAGGTCTGGTGCCAGGCTTCCGAGCGGGCACGGGAGGAACATGGCGCTGTCCCTGCTGGAGGAGGGGTGGGGAGCACTGACCATTTCCCCGCAGGGACAGCAGGTGGAGGTGGGGTGCAGTGTCCTGGTCCAGGCTGCTGGGGGGGCACTGAGGACAGGACACGGAGAGCTGGGCAGGGTGACTCATCACCTGGGCTCTGGCTGGTCATGGGGCTCGCCCAGTCCTGTGGTTCTTGGCCTCTGCAGATGGAGGTGAACCCCCTTCATGAGGAGCAGGGGCTCTGTGGCACCAACGCCCAAGCATGTGCAGCAGACTGGACCATTTGGGCTCAAGTGTGGGGTGGGGGAGTGTATGGCCTGTGCTTGCCACTGCCTTCAGCTGGGGGTTTGGGGGCTTGGCCCCGGCCTCAGGACAGGGATGTGCTCCCAGCCCGTGCCAGGACAGTGTCTGCTGGGCCCCCCAAGCTCCCCATCACCTGCCTCCTCCCACTGACCTCACAGACCTGCCACTCAGCACCCCCTCGTCCTGAGCCAGAGCATCCCAGGTCGTGCCAGCCCTTCCCCACACCCTGGGCAGAATGGGCAAGGAGAAGACCCACATCAACATCGTGGTCATTGGCCATGTGGACTCGGGCAAGTCCACCACAACAGGCCACCTCATCTACAAATGCGGGGGCATCGACAAGAGGACCATCGAGAAGTTCGAGAAGGAGGCGGCTGAGGTGAGCCCCCAGGGGACTCCCACCTTCACATCTCCCCCACGCGGTGGCTGGGCTCGGTGCTTCCAGCCCCTGGGCGTGCAGCTCAGTTTATCTCCTTCAGGGTGAGAGAGGTGTGAGGCTCAAGAGGACCCTGCTGTTGGGGACCCATGTCTTGGAGGGTCCAGATGGAGATGGCGGCAGGGTGGGGGGTGAACGGGGTCTCCTGTCCCTGAGGATGTGCTACTGGGGGAGGTGGTGTTTCTGTCCTGCACAGGTCTGTAGCAGACCCTGGGACTCTGCCACGCTGGACCAGGGCTAGAGGGCCCTCCAGCCTTGTTCCTTTGCCCCCCAGGGCCAAGGCTGGGGCGGGCCAGGACTCAGGCTGCTATTAATAGTGGGTTGATGGGCAGCTGGCCCATCAGCTCCATTTTCTCTGCTGGGCTGTGAAGGGCTGCTTGTCCAGGGTGCCACCTGGGTTGGGGGTCTTGGCTGCTTGCTGAGGATGAGAGGGGCTTGTTGACCTTCCATTTTTTGAAGCTGCTCCTGTTTTGTATCTGAGGCCCATGGGTGGGAAGTAGCCATGTGTGGGGGTCTGCTGTGTGCCCCCATCCCTCACCCCTGGGCTCTGGGAGAAGCCCACTTCTGTGAGGCCTTTGAGGGCTCCTACCTGGCACTTGATTATGAGAGCTGGGGCCAGGGCCTGGGAGGGGCAGCTGCTGGCCTGGCCTGGCCACCTGCCCTGGCTGGGGTGGGGGTGCACTGAGCTACACTCTTCTGCATCTGGGCCTGAAAGCTGCGTCACTCTGTCCCTTTGGGGTGGAGTAGGAAGGAGGCCGAGGGACTGAAAGGGCGCCTGGTTTAGGTCCCAGCTGGGTCCTGTCTGTGTCTTGTTTGGGTGGCCCCTCCAGGCTGGGCAGCATCCCTGGAGGGCAGAGGCCTGTGTGAGGTCCATGCTTGGCTCTGGTAGGGAGCTTTGCCCAGCTGGGCAGTGGCCGTAGCTGCACCTACTGAAGCCCCCGCCCAGGCTGTGGGGGTCTCACTGGCCCCCAGTGCCCAGGTGTTTGCAGAGTGTGGCCCAGCCTTGCTGCTGTGGGGAGACCCCCAGCTTCCCCTGCTCGGGCAGAACAGGGACGCGGAGGAGGAGCCTCAGAGCTATTTAAGAGCCTTCAGCTATAGAAAGAGCTGGAAAGCCAGGCTCTCTTAGGGACCTTGGCTGATTTTTTTTTCTTTTTTTTTAATAACACAGAGGGGTTATTTATTTGACAGCCCAAAACATGGTATTATTGGCCTCTGGCTGACGAAGGGATCTGTGGGGGTCTCCCCGTTTCAGATAAAGGGGAGCCTTCCACCGGGGAGGGGGTTTAATCCGGTCTGGCGGCTTCTCTCTGAGTGGCTCCCAGTCCCTCGCGCCACCTGCTGGTGGAAATGCGTGTCCGCGCCCACTTAGGAACTGGTGCTGGAGGCTGTTCCTGGGGAGGCGGAGGTTGGCCGGCCTTGGCAGGGCAGGGTCTGGATGTCAGCATCAGAGAGATGTGGACCAGAGTCCCAGGGCCCCAGTGGGGTCCCTCCTCTGAATGGCCGCTCTGCCACAACATGCTGCTCCCATGGCCCAGGGGCAGCCCCAGCAGGCAGATGAGACCTGGGTGTGCTGGGTCTCGCTCTGAGCCATGCCCACCACCCCTCCAGATGGGGAAGGGCTCCTTCAAATACGCTTGGGTGCTGGACAAGCTGAAGGCAGAGCGGGAACGCGGCATCACCATCGACATCTCCCTCTGGAAGTTTGAGACCACCAAGTACTACATCACCATCATCGACGCCCCGGGCCACCGTGACTTCATCAAGAACATGATCACTGGCACATCCCAGGTGGGCAGGCACAGAGGTGAGGCAAGGGTACCTGTTTGAAGGACC